TGATGAGTTGTATGAGCCCCTAATAAAATGATTATTAAAAAAAAAAATACCAGAGATCACCTCTTCACTGTTTCGGAAGCACTTGGAATTCTCTCGTTTCCTCCAGACTTTTATCTAATTAATAACTCTTGGCTTTTTCCACAGGATAAGGCTGTTTCCCAAACACATAAATCCCACGGATTCACAGTCATGTATCTTGTGCTCCACCCAACCCACTCTCCCCAAGGCCTCTCCACTTTCTCAAAGGCTGGCCTCACCGCAGTTTACAATGACCCGGTCAGTAACACATCACAGGGGTCTACATTAGGAGCACCTCCAACTTCCCTCACACCTTCAGAACACGTAGTTGCTAAATCTATCGAGGCAGTAACCAGATTAGTAGTTTCTTAGGGTGATGGCGATGGAAGCTGGGAGCTAACAATAATGGACTCAAGAATGAAAACTGTTCTTGAGTGAACTCTGGTGATGAACGTACAACTCAATATATTTAAACCATTGAGCTGTATGGTATGGAAAGTATATGTCAGTAAAGCTTTACAAAATAAAACTAGCTGTCGTTGACTCCAATTCAAGGAGATGCCCTAAGGTCAGCACAGAAGTGCGCTGCCTCAGGCTGGCTCTCAGTGGCCAACTGGGCGGAACAGGTGGCCAGGCCTATCTTCTGAGAACCTCCCAGTCTTGCACTGAGCCGCTGAGCATAAAACTGTCAGTACTTCCCAAGGACTACGGATTTCACTCCCAATGCAACTGAATACTTCCCCTTCATTCCGATTCCTTTATGCCCATCCCAGCTTCCCAAGTGCCTTATGCATTAACCTAATCCCAAACAGAAAGAGAGGTTTGTCAGGTCAACAATCAATCTTTGTGGAAGGGTGAAATACCTGGGTGATCATGCGATCATTCCAGCCCACCTTGACTGACCTGTCTTCCCATAGTCAGAAACTATGTTGAGGGCTTTACATGCATCAACAGTTCATCCGTACAAGTCCCTCTATTTACTGTTCTCTCCATTACACAGATGAGGAAATTGGGTTTGGGTAGGTTAAACAGCATGCCTGCCAAGTAAGGAGAGGAGCACGAATCTAGATTCGTCAGTCCCAGAGTCTCTCCCTTCAGCTCTTCACTCTGGACTGCCCAAATCTGCCTGGTCTAGAAGTGGGGCCAATGTACACACCTGCGGTAGGTCACAAAGCAGCATGTGGTTCCTATCTCTGGTGCAAATGAATGAATGAAGTACTCAGGAAATTTCCTGACCGTAAGAATGGTTCAGTATGTTTCCAAAAACACACAAACGCAACGTCTACGTAGACTCAGAAGAATTACAATAGTGATTCTCAAGCAACCACGCCAGCCAAACCAAGCCTGCCTGTGCGACACTTTCCAGTCTATGGCAGCATGAGGAAAAGGATGACACCGGCGAGATTTCCATGAATTCCAGTATTGAAATGTCCTTTCAGGAAATGAGGTCAATTTCGAACGGTCACCAGCTGCTCTGCGGGGAAAGATGTGCCAGCCTTGGAAACCCTGCGGAGTCTTTCTATCCTGCCCTGCAGACTCAGAGTCGACGAACTGTAGCAGACTTGGACTTGATCTGACAAAGTTGTCAGAATTCTGTTGTCCGCAATTAGTTGACTTTGTCGGTCTTAGGCTTTTGTGTTAGAATACACATAATTTATTAGTTTAACCATTTTCAAGTGTATTAAGTATATTTGTCATGACTATTCTATTTCCAAATCTTTATCATCTCACATAGAAACGTTATACCCATTAACACCATCTTGTCCTTTCCTGACACTCCCTGCTCTCTTGTTTTTTTGTTTCTGTGAATTTGCTATTTGTTAATCTGCGTTGTACCATCTGTCAGAACTACATTACGCCTTGGAGCTATATAATATTCCATTTTATGTGTACATCTTTTGCTTCTTTCATCTGCTCCTGAATATTTTTGTATTTCCATCTTTTGGCGACTGTGAATAGTGCTCCTATACACATTGGTGTCCAGGCATCTGTTTGAGTCTGATCTTAACAGTGTACAAGGCCAAGGTTCTTAAACTAGGCAATTCCATTTCTAGGTAACTAATTTGGGAGAAAAAAACTGGGCATCTAACCAAAGAGGCACAGGTATGCAAGATATACTGTAACACTGTCTATTAAAAACAGAACCGGAAACAGCCTAAACTTCCACTAACAGTAAGATTGTCACCCTATGGTACATCATGCTGTGGGTAGGTCAGGTGCCACCTAGTCCCGCACAACACAATGCAACACCGCCTGGTCCCGTGCCATCCTCCCAACAGCTCCTGTGCCTGAGCCCACAGTTGCAGCCACGTATCAACGCCTCTAGTTGAGATCATATACTGTTCTGTGGGTGTACATTATGTAACAGTGTATACACGAATGTGGAAAGATGGCAAGAATGCAAAATTCTTTAAGTACATACCAATAAATGGTCCACATGTACACATGCAGCATACAATGCATTTAGAAAGCCAGAAGTCTCCATCTCTCGGAGAGCACTGGTCATCTTTGGGAAGGAGCACAGCTGGAAAGAGTGGTGACCCTGGGTTGTTGCTGGTGGTGACCCTGACGCAGTGAGACAGAGCAGACTGTGCCTCAGGGTTTTCTCGGCTGCCAGTTAACAGAGGCAGATCGCCAGGTCTTTTCTTCTACAAAACTATAGGGTAGGTTCGAACCACGAACCTTTAGGTTAGCAGTCAAGCGCAAACCACCTGTGCCAAGGGACCTTGACATTATGATTACATCAGGAAAAAAGTTTTCCCCTTTTAGAGTTATGTACCGGCAATATGGTCTACTGACAGAAATTTGCCTTTAAGAACCTCAGCTGGGGAGCTTTGGTGGGTGTAAATGGAATCAAATTGGGGATGAGATAATTCTTGAAGTTGGGTGAAGAATACATCATACTTTACTTTCTGCTATTACATATGTTTAATACTTCCCACAATTAAACATTTAAAACTTTAAAAAAAACAATTTAAATTTTTTTCTTGACTAATTTAAAGAATTCCTTGATATATCATGTCACCCTGAGTACTCCCCATCAAATCTTGCTATTGTGACCTGACAATTCATCCCAGGCTATTTATCAAGTATGTAAGTATATTTAAGTACAACAACTGCTTGAGGCATCCGTGGGGCCTTGAAATACGTAATCCAGCCTTTACCAACCAATCGACACACAGCTAGATATAAAATTAATAGAACAAAGCAGTATACAAAGGGACTAAGGAAGAATCACTGCTAGTGGAATACAGTTCAGATCCCTTCCCCCTGAAGTGGTGGAGGCCACGACCAGAGGGTACCAGAGGCTAGGCGAGGAAAGCAAGAATCAGAGCAGAGGAGCAGTGCTAAGGCAGAGCGGCAGGTGAGGCTTCCTGGCCCGTGAGGCCAGAGGCCAAGGGACCACGTGGCTAAGAGGCTGAGGAGCAGAGTCTTCGCAGCTGGCTAAGGAGGCACTGCTGTGGACATAACAATCTCATTCGTTTTCTGAGAGAGCTGCCCAGAGTAATGATGCTCTGGAATGAGAAATCAATGCAGAATCTGAAGTTAAAAAAAAATACAATGCTAAACAGTTTAACAATAACCCCAAACCTTCAGACCAACTGAAAAATACAGTGATGAAAAAGATGTTGAAGAAAGATCTGTCTGATCTTATACAGTATGTCTTGGTCTTAGACTCTACAGTTCAGAAGGCCAACAAGAAAACTCTGGTGTCACAACAAAATTAAGATAGAAAATGATGAATGAAGGGCAAGGTAATGGGGGGAAAAGCAAATGAAAAACTATGTTCTATCAGAGTACTGACTCTCAGGAACTGGATTCCAGATCCCTGGTAATTTGATGTGAGCCAGGTAATGGGAAGATGGCATAATGACGCATTGAAGCTCTGGACCACGGAGATTGAGCTGGCAGAAGACGATTGCACTCGGTGGGGATGTCGTTGTAAAGGATCACAGAGCAAGACATGGAAGAAGTTGGCTACACAGACAACAGTGAAAGACTAAATAAATCACAGAGGAGCTCAGCTAATAAAACCCATGATCTATATAATTAATAGTCATCGTCTTATGTGGTGTATTATATAGGTATAAATTACATAACAATCTATCTATATATATATTTAAGTGTAGCAAAGGAGAGAGGACAGAGATAAGGAAGGAAGACCTATATAAAGACAAAGAAACAAGTGTTGTGGGGGGCAGAGGGAAGGAGACTGGCAATTTTAGAGAAGTCCTAAATAAAACAGGCTCAGAGCTTCTAAGAGCAGACAGAAACGACCCAGAGCCCTAGACCCTCGACAAGCTGCATCAGCATTATCTAAGAGCATGTCAGGAAGGCAGGCTCTGGGCCTCACTCCAGCTTCACTGCATCAGAAACAGCACTTCATTAAGATCTCCATCTTGGACACACAGTATTTTAAAACTGCAGGGCTCCCCTCATCAGTGGGTCACAAAGTCAACTGAGAAACGAATGGAAAATATCAGAAGGTATCACACAGAGTGAAGGTAGGTTTTTTGTGTGACCATATTTGAATCCTGTGGGTTGAAATAAAAACAAACAAATAACATTGAACACGGGGATAGTAATTTCTTTTGGGTTAGGACATGTGGAATCACATGCACTGAAAAGAAGATATACTCACTTATACTACATTAAGAAATACAGAAGACCTGTTAACACATATTCATGTAATAAGCATATAAAATGAAAAAAAAAATTTCCACAATATACGCTTACCTTTACCAGTACCATACCCTGATATTTTCTATTTGTTTCTCTTTTTTTTAAATGTTGCTTGTGATCCACTGACATATTGATTTCACAACTCTTTTATAGGTCACAATTCAAAATCTGGAAAACGATGGTCTATAACGAGTTGCATGGCTTCATTCCTTAGCCAAGAGGTAGTTTAAGAGAGTCGGTGGAAAGTTAAGGATGACTGATACATAAGCTAACTGGGGAAATACAAGGATAGACTTCACAGTAAAACTTGACCTTGGACTGCAGCAGTTGTTGGTTTTTGCCTCCCTCTGTGCAGGTACAAGGGCGAAAGACTGGGCTCTCTATTCCGGTAAACAGTGACAGTCTCAGAAAACTCACAGGGGTAGTTCGACCCTGCCCCCACAAGGTGGCTATGAGTCGGCATCACCTGGATGGCATTGAGTGAGTGAGTGAAGCCGGTACAAGAGGAAACCGCAAATAAAATAACGAAGGCTGGAAACAGGTGAAGGAAATGAAGAGAAACTCGAGTTGAGAAGTGGAGAGGAAGAAAACACCTGAAGTCGGATGCTAGCTAGTCTCAAGAACTAGGGCACCGATAAGAAAACGGCTTCGGGCGAATTCCAAGCAGCCCGACTTGCAGAAAGTAGGAACAGACTGAAGGCACACTCCGCCTGGGTTCCTGTAAGCTCCGCTGCGACGCGGTCTCTGCGTGGCCCCGCCTCCCCCGTGCTAGCTAACGTTTGACACTGTGCTCGGGGCAGCCGACGCTGGGGGCTGGGAGAAGTCGGTCTGGTCAGCAAGGATGGAGGGCAGTGTGTGCCAAGTGTCGAGTTGATGCTTAACCTCCTCTGTAGCCGCCGAGGCGCCGATACCACCCCGGATTAAGACGGCCACCTTCTGCGCCAGGGTACCGGGTTGGCGGGAGAGGCCTGGGTCCTTCTTAGGGCGCCAACCCCAGGCTCTGCAAACCCCCTGGGTGCCCACACTTCCCATCAGCCCTCGCGCGGAGCCCCAGGCTGTCAGCGCTCTCCGAGCCCGCGAAAGGCGGGACGGTCTGTCCCCTTCTCCCGCAGGAGGCGCCGCGGCCAGCCCCAGTACCCCCGCGTCCGGGCCAGGCCGGAGGCGCTCCCACCTTCACTTTAATTAGCATCTTCTTCCCAGTTCGGGGCCGCACACCGATGCACTGCTGTTTCTACCGCTGTGGCCGCTGCTGCCGCTCCCCAGCACTCCGCCTGTGGAAAATCACTTCTGCTTCCGGGTCACCACTGCTAGGCTCCACCCCTTTTCTTTTACGGGGTGTCCCGGAAAGGTTCGGGAACTGCCCCCGCGCTTCGTTTGAGCGGGACGGTAATGGAGAAGAAGGTGGCCGGCTTACTCACAGCACGGGCGGACGCCCCGCGGTGCTGGGTGTCTTACCGAGCCTCGGGAGCGTTATGGGAGGGGCGGGGCGGGGCGGACTGGGTCTCCCAAGGTGCCGGAAGGCCCTTCCTCCCGCCGCACCTGGGAGATGTAGTCTCCTGGTCCTCGGGCCCAATGGCAGCGGCGCAGGGTGGACTCTGTTTCCCAGAAGGCTTCGCGCGGCTGGAATTTTTTTCAGTTAGTGGCGTGCTCGCCCGCAGTTTGCGGAATCCGGCGGCTTGGCGCAGCAGGCCGAGGAAGACTGCTCGAGGTCGGTTGCTAGGCAAAGGGCACTTGGATCAACGGCCACCTGGGCCACTGCAACAGGAAGTGGGTACCCCTCTTCCGGAAACTGGCTTTAGACTCCCCTGTCCTTGGTACACCACAGCTCTTAGCCTAATGTACTCACTGCTGGGTAGGGAATGTGCGCTCCTTGCTTCTCTCCCAACCGCTTCCCAATTCTCCCTCACAAGCAAATACTTGGCGTGGAGATCTCCACGCAGAGTCATCGCAACCACTGGCCCGGGCTGAGGTGACAAGCTTCAGGGGCCACACCTGGACCCATGCCCGGACCTTCAACACGAGAAGGGGCGCTGTTCCCGCCCTGTCGGCTTCTAGGCGCAGGGGGAGACTGGTGCGGTCGCCTCCTGACATTTCCTACCTTCCAGCCCCCAGACTCATCGCTATCCTGAGACCCTCACCATGCCTCACATCGACAACGATGTGAAACTGGACTTCAAGGATGTCCTACTGAGGCCCAAGCGCAGCACCCTAAAGTCTCGAAGTGAGGTGAGCCTGCTTCTTTGCATGTTTTGTCTGACACCCCCACCCCCCCCAAGCTCCTGGAGGGCCAGGGCACATGAAGGTACCTGGTTCCTGCAGTACATGTCTTTCTGCTTGAATGAAATGCTGTTTCCTTTTGTTATCTGCAGGTGGATCTCACAAGATCCTTTGAATTTCGGAATTCAAAACAGATGTACACAGGGGTTCCCATCATTGCTGCCAATATGGACACTGTGGGCACCTTTGAGATGGCCAAAATTCTCTGCAAGGTAGGGCTTCCCTAGTTAACCCCCTTCCTCAGTGGTGTCCATTTGCCTCAGGTGTTTGCATTCCCACACCCATCCCACTTGGCTCTCTGGCCTTCGGCAGGCTGGCTGTTCCAATTTACAATATGCTTCACTACTAAAGTTCCTTTATCTGAGAGGTTCAAATGGCCACGAGAAAGCAGCTGTGGTAACGCAATTGGTTAAGCACTCAACTGTTAATCAAAAGGTGAGTGCTGTGAGCAACAGGAGCAGCTCTGTGGGAGAAAGATATTGTGATCTGCTTCAGATTACAACCAAGAAGACACCCCCCACCCCCCGCAGGTCTGCTCCTGTCACATTGGGATTGCTGAGTCAGAACCAACTGATGGCTCCTTCGGACAGCTAGTGCATATACAAATATGCAAGTTTGTAAGAATCTCTACATTAAAAGTTAATCACAGAGAACCCTGTGAATATGTGAAATTCAAGTCTAAGTTTGACCCATTCTCCCTTGTGTCCTACCCAGCAGTTCACACATACTGCCAACTTTTTGCATCAGACCAAGTGATTACCGTTTTAGTCCCCAAACTGTATACACGTGGGGCATTAAATATTCCAAATTAGAAGATACTAAGGAGCAGCAGCTTCCATATTGTTCCTTTTTGCCGCCAGCCAATGATTTTCCCCTCACCCTCTGTCTGAAGTCCTAGGTTTTTGGAGGTTTATGGGATGTGCTCAAAACACGTTTTTCTTACATACAGGTGGTTCGCTTTCAAAATGGACGAAGCTGCTCCTCTCTGTGTTACTACCTGGCTCTGTTTTTGTAGCTGAGAAGGTAGACAGTTACCCAGCACCGAGACATACGCATGCTGCTCCTTAATCAACGTAGCCCTGGTTGGTGTATCCCGCTAACATTTGTGGCTGTTAGCGTGGAGGGCTTTGTCTACCTTCTTGTCTCTTTTTGCTGGCTGCCTCTGGAATGTGCTGTCACTTTTCTGAGGTTGATGGTTATGCTGATTCATTGGACTGTGTTGCTGTTTCCATTTACTGCTTAAGGATCCTACAGTTGTCTATTTTCCACCTGTCTTGTCCAGTTGTGGAATGGTGACTTTTAACCGGTGCTACCAGATACATACCTGGCTGGACCTTGTTGGGGACCCTGCCTTAACACTTCATGCTGAGAATGGCGCTTCCCTTCAGTATCTTGAGAGTCTCACAGTGATAATAAAATGATGCAAACTTTTTAGACATCTAGCTTGTTATGTTTTCAGATGTGCTCAGCATGTTACTGTGCCAGTCTAGCTCCAAGACAGACTTGCAAGGGTGGTTTTCCTCTAAATGCTGGCAGGGTTCCTGAAAAAGCAGTGTTCCCATTCTTAAGTAGATAGGCTGATGACAATCAGCACAGCACTTCCTTCCTTCATTTTGGCTGATAGGTGAATGTAGCTTGAGTTTGTCAGTTGCAACACGTGCACTCTCAGCCAACTGATATCCTTTGTCTATTTGCTTGTGTGCACTTTAAAAACACAAATGCCAGCATGGATAGCAGGCTCTGAGTGCTTGTCTTAAAGTACAGGAATGCTGCTTATAGTATGTTGAGCTTGTGAATGTGATTCTGATGAGTCACTATCCTTGAATTTGGTGGATTAAAATAGAATGAAATGGTTACAGCATGGTCCATCAGTTTTGCCCTTTACTCCAGTGGAATGCTCGAGGAAGGACTGGGTAGTACTTTATTAGTTCCATCACTCTTAAAGCCTTACCTTTTCTAAGTAACTGGACTCACTGAATTGCTACTGGTAAAGGGACCAAGAAAATACCACAAACAGGTTGGTTCAAAACTAGGGGATCGTAGGAGGCTGAGTCTGTGCGGGCCAACGCCAGCTCCTTTCAGCCTCTGCTTACCCCACGTCACTTTAGAAACAGCGGTATGTACTGGCCAAGTGAAATTCAACCCAGAAGACACAGTACTCTGGTGGGAGTGTGTTGACAAGTCTTAGTGTACAGTGAAAGACCTTCGTGGGTATTGGAGGGAGATGTGAGTTAAAACCTCGGCAGACACTGACTTACACTTGCTCTTTCCAAACATCTCTTTTTCCTCCAGCTCCCAAACAGGATAGCAGGGGGGGTCTGTTTTTAGGGAAAAACCCTTAATGACATTCTCTTCTTTTCCATTGCTCCGCCCTCTCCAGTTCTCCCTCTTCACTGCCATCCATAAGCACTACAGCCCCGAGCAGTGGGAAGAGTTTGCTATTCAGAATCCTGACTGTCTTGAGGTAATTACGGGTCTACCCTGCTTCGATTCCTGTCTCTTCTTCCAAGAACTTCGTGGAAACCGATCCTCACCTCCACATCCTGCCCAGCACCCCCTCCAACATTGTCTTTCCCTCCAGCATCTGGCTGCCAGTTCGGGCACAGGCTCCTCCGACTTGGAGCAGCTGGAACAGATCCTGGGTGCTGTCCCCCAGGTGAAACATATCTGCCTGGACGTGGCAAACGGGTACTCGGAACACTTCGTGGAATTTGTGAAGGACGTGCGGAAGCGCTTCCCCCAGCACACCATCATGGTATGTTCCACACTCACGCCCCCCCCCCCCCCCCCCCCCCCTGCCACTTCCATTCTGTTACATCACTTCATCTCTTCCCTGCTGCATCGATGGTTCTAGTCCATCACGTCTTGTCATGCGGAAGGTTTTCATGCTTAACGTATGTTTACTGGTTTGCATGGTCTCTGAAGCCTTAGAGTCCTTGCAAACCCAATGCTTCAGACCTCACTCAGCAGATTCTGCTACTACATGCAACGTATTACACACACCTGTTACATAAACAATTGCCGGATGAAATGAACAGGCATGACAATCACACAAAACGGGTCTCATGAAGCATTTTTCTCCTTAAACAAGTTCAGGAGTCTGATGACAAGGTCTCCCTTTCTTCCTAGCATTAAGTTTCTCTCCTTGTACTATCTATCCATCAAAAGGCAAATGTAACTAGGCAAAGGAGTTGAAGCCTACATGCCTTCCTGCTCGACTCCCCCTCCTCTGAAGCCAGAGCAACTCTGTATTAGAGTAGAATGGGTTGGGACACCTTTGGGCTTGCTAGCAGAGGAGCTAAATCTACTCTTAGATCCCTGAGCTTGGGCCCTAAAACTCATCTCCCATGTTGCCTTTGCTCACAGCACCTTGCTGCCTCAGTGCAGTAAAGGGCATTGTGGACCTCTGCCTCTCACCCTTCCTCCTCAGGGAGGCAGTAGGTGGGGGGCAGGGTGCGAGGAAGTGGCTACTGTAGAAGGCCCAGTAGAGGGACCCAGGTTTCCTTGTTTATAGTACACTGCTGGGAGGTCCTGATCCAGGCACACCACATGCAGTAACTCACAGCCTCTCCATTTTGAACCCTAAGCGTGCTGTTTGAATGGCTTTGTGTCAGGCAGGGAACGTGGTAACAGGAGAGATGGTGGAAGAACTGATCCTCTCAGGGGCTGACATCATCAAAGTGGGCATCGGGCCAGGTAAGCTGGTTCTGTGTGGTATGCCATCTGTGGCAAGCCCCTGTGGAGCACCTGTCTCAGTCTTTTCACGCCCTTCCAGGTTCTGTGTGTACCACCCGAAAGAAAACAGGAGTGGGGTATCCACAGCTCAGTGCAGTGATGGAGTGTGCCGATGCTGCTCATGGCCTCAAAGGCCACATCATTTCAGTAAGGCCCAATGGAGGGTGGGGCGTGTGGCCATCAGACATCTGAGTTCTGCTGGGCACGGCGGCTCCCAGGACGCCTGGGTTATACCAGTGTTGAGGTGGGACACTGCTGAGGGATGGGCCTTCTTTGCTGTCCTCTCATACTGCTCCTCTCTCTGCAGGATGGCGGCTGCAGCTGTCCTGGAGATGTGGCCAAGGCTTTTGGTAAGGGGCTTAGAAAGACACAGGAGTAGGATCCTGTAGACAAGGATAAGTCACCTTTCAGGGGCTGAGGCTAGGCTAGGGCAGGCTCAGATAGCCCACTCCGATTCTTTTATAGCATCAGTCCCCCTGAAACCTGTGGTGTGTCACCTGGGACAAGCCAACAGGAGAACTCTCCATGTAGAGGCCAGGACCACCACACTGTCCCTAGATTGTTGAACTGCATAGTCCCTGAGGCCCACGTCAGGCCCACAAAATCAGGCTCTTGGGAACGGGGCAGAAACCAACTTGCTTCCAGGTGACCCTTGCTCTAAGGTGGCTTTGCTTCTGGGTCACACAAAAGCTGCCCCGATGAGAATAGGAACCAGTGGTGAACTCCAAGGACTCCCTGTTGATGGGAAGCAGGTCCGTTGAGGGCTGGAAACCACAGCAAGATGACTGAGTGGGTTCTGGGCCAGCCAGGGAAACAGAACCAGGAGGCAGCCTAGCTCCCTGAGGGCTGAGCATTTGATGTGACTTCTGAAGGTGGGGATCAGGCTCACATCCCTCCCTTTCCCTGGCTGGTGCCAACAGGGGCCGGGGCTGACTTTGTGATGCTGGGCGGCATGCTGGCAGGGCACACCGAGTCAGGTGGCGAGCTCATCGAGAGGAACGGCAAGAAATACAAGCTTTTCTATGGAATGAGTTCTGAACTGGCCATGAAGAAGTACGCCGGGGGTGTGGCCGAATACAGGTCTGTATAGAGGCTTGGAGCTGAGGGGTCTTGGGCAGCGTGACCGAGTAGGGTGGGAAACAGATGGTACAACTATTGGGGGCATGGAGTGAACAGGCACTAGATACTGGGGATGTGGTACTACATTTAAGGAATCCGGAAAGAAGGTCAATCCTGTTTTCCTAATCTCAAGGGCCTCAGAGGGCAAGACAGTGGAGGTCCCCTTTAAAGGGGACGTGGAGTATACTGTCCGAGACATCCTTGGAGGGGTCCGCTCGACCTGTACCTATGTGGGAGCAGCTAAGCTGAAGGAGTTGAGCCGGAGAACTACCTTCATCCGCGTCACCCAGCAGGTGAATCCAATCTTCAGTGAAGAGCGCTAGACCTGGAGTTCTGTCCACCCTCCCAAGATACCAGGGCCCTTCCCCAGTCCCAGCTCCTCCTGCTACTTGCTATGAGCCTTTTCTCGTCCTCCCGCTCCCGAGGGCACCTGCAGCAGCTCTGCACCCCTGCACCCCTCTGCCTACACATGCGACACCAAGGGCACTCCCTGGGGACGAAGTAAGGGGTGACGAGAATCTGAGGAAATGAAAATAATCAAATGGCAAACTGGGGGCCCGGCAGCCAGAAGATTACTGACAGGAAAAGACGCTGAGTTATAATGACCTTGGTCTGGACAAGGCAGGCTTATTTAGAATCATGATTTGGTCATCGGTTTCATTAAACCAGACTTGACTACTTAGACCTTTGCTGCTCAGCCACAGCGTTTCTGTTATTTGAAATATGCAGTAAAGAGATCCCCCAAACGGTGAAGTGGTACGGGAGCTTTCCATAAAAGATGCAGGCATCTGGGTGCAGCAGGGAGGTAGGGATGGCACGGACCATTTGCCATGGGGTGCAGGGCAGTATCCCTGTTGTAGTGCCAGTACCCCCAGAGAACGTGGCAGTATGAGAATTTCCGAAGTTTATTCCGGTATACAGGTTCTCAGCATCACCGAAGGCCCTCTTGACTTCCAGACTCTTGGTCCTGGTAGCACTTCTGGGCACATGTGAACATTTCAGCAGGGAAGGGAAAAGCAAAGGCCTACAGGCCGGTTCTATTACTAAGGACTGACTTCCACTGACCATTTGGAAGTCCCTATTTATTTTCCTTCCCTCACATCACAACAATGTTTGAACAAATGCAGAGTTTAATTACGAAGGGAGCTTGGCAATGTTGTCAGGCCATCCAGTCTTGGGCTTCCCTTCATCCCTGCTCAAGCGCTTATCTGGCTTGAATGCGCAGGGGCAAGCCCCCTCATCGGGGTCTAGGTTTGTCTATATGGGAAGGACCAGGCATGGTGCGTAGACCAGAAGGGGAGAGATAGTCACGGAAGGTGGGGATCAGGGTGTCAAACTTTGTCTTCTGATAGTTTCTCAAAGACTCCTGCAGGGAAGGCAGCAGGGAGAGCCGATCATCATCCTATTTCCTGAGTCCTCCATGTTGTGGCACTAGTAGACTTCCCCGTCTAGGTTTTGTCTATCCCCTGCTCCACCTTTCTGTTCTTTTCAACTCACCTTCCCTTCCCTCTGGCCAGTCTCTTCATCATCAGAGTCCAGAACCAAATCCCCCACGGTAATGACAGGGCTGAACAGACCCAGCAAGCTAGCTGTAGGAGGATAAGCAGGGTTAAACTACTGCTTGTGAACAACAGGCCTAAAGAGAGGTGGCAGTGTGAGCCAATCTTGTAAGTCCCCACCCCTACCTGGCTGCTTGGTTCTAGGAGGAGAGAGTGACAGTCTCAGGGGGTCCGTGGCACAGTCCAAGCAGTTTCTGAGGGAAGAAAAAGCAGAGAAGATGGAGAGAAGGGAAAGTAGACAGGCAACATGCCTCCAGTAGGGAGAAGTAACTATTCTACTCACTCCTTTGGCTCGGAGGCACAGGCGACAACAGCTGGCTTCTCCACTACGGCACTTTCCCCCAGGCCTTGGAACAGACTCTTGGGCTTCCCGACAGCCACTGCCTTTGAGCTCACAGCCCCTGCTGGATCTGTTGCGTGTGCCCTCCTGTTCTCAGGCTTAGACACTTCGTGGGCTGATAAGCCCAAGTTCCTGAAGGGGAACAGCAAGACTGTGGGGCGTTCCTTCTGGGCTCCTCTAGTGGACTGCCATCGAGACTGGACTCTTCGCTGGCCTATTGGGGCCAGATTGAAATGCTGGCCAGTCAAGGGTTCTGGGTGCTTCCTTGAGGCCGGCTTCTGAGGAAGACCTGGGCTGGGCGTGGCTTTTGGCAGAGAGTTGCCGAGTGCACCTCTTGGTTGCTGAGGAGAATTCAGCTCCACTGGCTCAGTCATGGTCACTGAGTTCATAACAGGGCACTCTGGAAGACAAAGTGAAGCTCCTTGTCAAGAGGAAAGACGGCAACATAGGGACTCAAGCCTGGCTTTCACCTCAGGCCCAGGCAGCTACTCCAGTGGGCTGTCCTGGAAGGCCTCGTGCTACAACACACCCTCAGTCCAATTCCTGGTTCCCCCAGATGGTTGGTACCTGGAAGTTGCCACTCCATATCCACTCCATATTGGCTCAAGGTAAACGAAGAGGTCAGAGAAGCCCCAGGCTGCATCCAACTCAGCACATCCTGAAGCTGTGGGCAGGGAAAGAGCCATGAGAACCACAGGCCTTAGGACCACCACCCTGCACTGGGCACTTAGGTGTCTGACCCCAACGGGACCTGCTGTGCCTGTACTAGCGGCAATGCTTTTTCCAGTCGACACAGGTATTCGAAAAAGAGCTTCTCCAAGGCAGCCACAAAGGGTTCCCCATACTCTAGATCAAGTTCCTGCGGGGAGACAGGGCGGTCAGGACCAATGAAAACAGCGCCACAATGCCTTCAAAGCAACCAGTCGCACCTGCAGCTGTTGGGTCAAATCCCCAGGCGTCTCGGCCAGCTGCTTAACCTGCTGGCAGAAGGTTCTCTGTGCTTCCAAGGTCCTCCTCAAATCTTGCTCTGTCTGTGGAGGGTGAGGAAGGCAGGCAAGTTAGGGGCATTGGGGTCTAGTCGCTGGGGAAGAGGGGCGTCAAGTTTCGACCAGAGGCGGCGTTTGCCCCTGGCAGGGATTACTTACCACTTTGGGGTCCCTCACTTGAGGTGCGGATTCTGGGAAGTGGAGACTTAGGGCGTTCAGGACGTGGGCCCAAGGCTTGCCCTGCAGGATCAACTCCACCACCACCTTGGCCTTTAGGCCCAAACACAGGCGTTCGTGGTGCCGGTAGCGAACTAGGCCGGGGGCAGCGGAGCGCAGCGATCGCAGGAAATCCAGCACTCGCGGAAAGAAGTCCACCTGGCGTCCACGAACTACTCGCCAGCAGGCTGCAGCCACGAAGCGCAGGGAGGCGGGACTGCTGCCCGGGGGTGTGGCCATGGGCGGCGGGCTCGGCCCGGGGGCGGTCCTTCGCCGACGCTGCCACCAAAGTGAGGCTCCAACCGCTCTAACGCGCCGTTAGATCGGCGTGCGCGGGATCCCTGGCGTCCGACTCAGCTCTCTGCCACAGGCCGCCAGGACCCGGGGGTCTTCTAACTTGGGCCGGAGCCTGACGGGAAAAACCAGCCGGCTCCAATTGCCTCAGGTCCCTCGGCTTTAAGCGCCACTGCTCTCGGGACTGAGTGCTCGGCCACTTCCGGTTCCGTTACTCGTTTCCCGCCCCCGGAAAAGCGATAACAGCCAATGGGCCGCCTGGGGCCTGTGACGTCACGCCAGGGAGCCACTCCCCCGGCGGTGCCCGCGCTTCGCCCCGCGTCTGGCGGGTCCCTGGTGGGCAGCTGGGGCGCCCCGAGGACCTCGGGCTTCTTCCTCGGGCCCACGCGCGTCTCTAAGGCTCGGCCTCCTGCTCGGCTCGGGAAATCCCAGTCCCCACGCCGCGTCTACGTAGCTTTTCTCGGGCAGCCCGCCGCGTCCAGTAAGTTCAACCGAGCAGAAGAGGGCGCCCGCCTTCAAAATATAATCATGTATCTATACCCAGGTGAGACGCTACTTGCTTTCCTCTGGATGGTGGGATGATCATCTTTTTCTTTTAAAAAAATCATTTTATTGAGAGCTCTTACAAATAATATAACAATCCATAGTTCAATTGGATCAAGCATACTTGTACAATTGCTGCCACCATCAGTTTCAAACATTTCCTTGAACTTTTTCATATCAGCCCCTCTTTATCCCCACCCTACCCCCCAGGAACCCTTGTTATTTTATTATTTAGTATTATCATTATTATTGTTGTTTTACCGTATTTTACACCACCCAGTGTATCCGTTCACCTACCGTTCTGTTATTCCTACACTTCCAGTGGGGGGATTATAATCTTATCATACATTTCACTGTTCTCTTTCCTGAAACTTTTAGTTACAAAACTTTAAAAAAATGTTTACCCGTTTCAATTTTCTTTTGTTCATTTACCCCCAAACGTAACTGACTTGGCTTGTCACCTATGATGCCTTCTTTGTTTCCATCACCAAGGACAGAATTTGGCACGCAATGCACATTCTTTAAAGAATGAATGCGGTGATTAATCAGCTGAATTAGTCACTGGTGCTGCCTACTTCGTTGTCAGTTGTGGTAGAGCCCAGTGGTCTGCAACTCATGGCGACTTTATGTATGAGGAACAAGAAACTATCTGGTCTCACACCATCTTCATGACCCTCAGTAGTCAACCTCACAGGGGCTGAATGAACCTGACATGTCTTGGGCCAACTCCATTCCCAGACAATGGCTCCCAGGCCCCAGTCTACCCAGATGAGTGTTCTGAGCTGATCCCCACACAAATTCACCTGCCTGTAGGATATCTCCTTAAGACCTCAAAGTTCTCTTAAATGAGGAACAAAGGAAAGTCTAGGTATCTTACTTTTAAAAAAAAAAATTGGGGGGGGGGGGGGGGTTTGGTGGTGGTGGTACATGGGGTTTCTATTCACCTTTGCCTTCTCTTTCCAAATCGAATCCATCATCAACTCTGACCAGTTCTATTTCTGATAGAACCCTCTAACGCAATCCCACTTTCATTCTCATTGCTTCTGTTTTAGGTTTTCCTGTCTCTCGGGGAGGTCTCTCTACCTCTAGCCCGCCCCCTGTCTAATTCCATGTCCATGCCCACCTCATTATGACTTGGGTAATTTGCGAACCTGATCCCCAAACTAAATCTCTGTAATAGCTTCTTCCCCTTACTTTTAGAAGGAAGTCGCATCTCCTAGACAAGGTCGATTTTGAAAGCTTGTCTCAAGCTTACCACTGCAGCCCCATTCCTTTCCCCCTTTGCCCCATTATTCACCTATATGTCAGTCCTCGTCAAACTGTTTGCATTTTCCAATTACACTGTGTTGCCTCGCATTTCTGGGCTTCACACTTACTGGAGAGTCCTCTGCCCTATTCCTCTGGGGCTGGACTTTCTCCCATCTCTCATAGCTCACCTGAAGGCCAGGCAGAGCCATGATTGTCTTCTCTGGCACCTCAGCATCTGTGATAGTGAAGGTTTTGTGCCAACTTACTTGGACCAAGATTCTTAGTGGTTTGGCAGTTAAGACCTAGTAATCACCCATGATGTCATCTAATACAATGTAATCACTTCCATAATGGCATCTGCTATGAGCAGCCAACCAGTCGTAAGATTGGGGATGCAAGACCCTTACTCAGCTAGCAGCGCTGACCCAGTCAGCTGAAAGGAAGTTTTCTCAGGACCGTGGACTCCTTCCAATATAAGTGTACGCTATGGAAAAGCTTGCTTGCTTTTTGCTAGGTCTGGATCCTACATCTGGCTCATGCTCCAACCTCTGCTTCTTTGGATTTGACTCAGCACCCTACCATATTGCCTGTGGATTCTAGGAGTCATCAACAGCCCACCTACTTTAAATTCAGTTGCCCCTGCAGTCAGAAGCCTCTGACTTTCGGATCTTGAGATCCTCAGACCCTGCAGCTAAGCCAGTCAAGAGCAGCCTCTCGTCTGACATCTGGCATGACTTGAATTCGCCTGTTTCCATAACCCTGTGAGCCATTTTTCTGATAAAAGGTTTCCCAGAGTACACATATGTAAGTTTCACCAGTTTTGCTTCTCTAGAAAACCCAGCCTAAGACCAAGCATCCCTAGCCTGAAGCTTATGGTTTCGCTATGTGGTGGAATCAACTTGGTGCCAACTAGTTTGGGTTTGGGTTAGCCTGTGCCTTAGACAGCCCCCATAAGTAAGAGATAAAGTAGCTGTCCTCCTGGGAGTTACATTCTAGCGTAGAGACCTCGGGTGGGAGCAGAAGAACCTTGGAAAAGCAGGGATCATAATGCCCACACCTAGCAAACTAAAGGAGATGATCCACAGAAGGCAACAAGTTTGAGTTAGACACACAGAGAAGCTCAACATAGAAATATGTTCACTTCTTTCCAGCTATTTACTAGCAACATTGTGTTGCAGGAGTTTTTGTTAGCTTGTTTTGTTTTTGAGTGTTTCAAGCATTTTTGAGCTTTAAGAAACGCAGGGATCAGAGTAAAATGAAGGAAAGTGAGGCAAGGTTATAGGAGCACAAGAGCAGTTTTCCCCTGGATGTTCAGTGAAACCAGGTACTGCTGTGTGGCTGTTCAGTCTTTCTGGAAAGTCACTTAACAAAAGGCATCAATAGCCTGAACCATGCTCATTGTCCTTTATCTAATAGTAATTCTGCTTTCGAAGTTGAACTTCAGAGAGCGAACTGTGAAACACCTCATGACGTGAGTGGATGTGGAGGACCCCGAGTAAAGTTACTCAATCACAAAAGGATAAATATTATGTGGCACCACTGTTATAAATTGGGGGGAAATCAAGCCAACAGGTTTCTGCACCTAAAGCAACATACTTTGATAGTTAACCGGGGTGGGCAGGGGATGGAGAGAGGGGAAGCAGCAGGCTAGACAGCAGACTGGTGTTAAGCAGGGTGAAGGGGAAGATAATATTCTACTAGAGGGAGCAGGGTAAGCTCTTGGGAGACTTGGCAAGTTGTTTAAATTGTTGAGTACAAAAATGACGATCTGAAATACAAACCCCCACCTAATTCACAGTAGTGTTTTTTTTTAATAAAATAAAGACGAACACAAAGATTTACATATTGGTATAGAATGTATATCACAGCTTTATTTCTAGTAGCAAAACACTGGGAAAAGTTACATCCTGCGAATGGAGAATTAGGTAAATAAACCATGTCACATGCGTAAGGCAAAGTATACTCATTTGTTACAAAAATGAAGTGCCACCACTGGAGTCCAGTTCATAAATCTGAGAAAATTATAAATCACATCTCAGCTTTACAATGTATCATCAGTAAACATGTATTGGACATGTATGTGCTAGGCATTGGGGACACACATGAGTATAGATAAGACAGGCAAGGTCTCATCCTTAATGAGCTCATGTTTTAGAGGGAGGGAACAGAATTTAATGAACAAACATGCTAATGTTAAACACAAGTGCTACGTAGGACACAAAGGAAAATACTGAATGAGATCGGAGGCAGGACAACTAATCAGCCAGGAAACTTGTCCCAGAGCAGGTGGCATTTGAACTCAGCCGAATCGCAGAGAGCCTGCCGTGCAGCCTGGGGGAGAAGTGGTCCAGGCAGAGGGACCAGCAGGGACAGTCTGAAGGCAGACAACAGCACCTCTCGAGGACAGGTTGTGAGTCTAAGAAGTAGAGGAAGCCAGGCTGTGTGTGGAGATGAAATTGGAGCGGGCAGGGGCCCGCTAAGTTAGGGACCAGGTGGGCTAGGGGAGTCCTCCATGGGATGATGCATATAGTTACTGTGCTTGGCTGCTACCCCAAAGGTTGAGGTTTCAAATCGACTTAGAGGTGCCTCAGAAGAAATGCCTGGTGACCTCCTTCTCTGACACACTTGGGGGTCACAGTAAGTCCAAGTGAACCTGACGACAAATGACGGTCAGGGTAGACGTTTGGATTACTCCAAGGGTAAGTGAAACGCATTGGATGATTTTAAGCAAGGATGTACTGGAATTTGCCCTATGATTTCAATATCACTGTGTAGCGATTTGAAGCCTGGTGGCAGAGTGGGTTAAATGTTGGCTTCTAACCCAACCCACCAAGCGGCCGGGGGCAGAGGAGGCTGCCAGCTCTCCTAGAGATTGATGGGCGCAGGGCAGATCTACTCTGTCCTGTGGGCCTGCTATGAGTTGGAATTGATTCCATGGGTGGCGGCGGGTTTGTTTTGATGTACAAACAAGGGTGAAAACCCACCAGGAGGCTGTGGCCGTTCTTCAGGCCAAGGCTCTGGTGGCAGTGGAAAGAGAATGGAGACACACGCACGCGCACACACACGGTTATATACATAAACATGGGCATATAGATATAAATATGGTAGCGATGATAAGATTTGGGGAGGGGCTGGATATTGCGGGGCATGGAAAAGGAGAACTCGAGTAATTTTTAGGTTAATGGTGGCTTGAGCCGCTGGGTCATCATAAACCATCCAGTTGATTCTGACCCAGGGTGACCTACATCGGGTTTCCAAGGCTGTAATCTTCAAGGAGCACATAGCCTCATCGTTCTACCAGGGGGGAGCGCCACTAGGGTTCCCTGGGCCATCAGAGTAACTGAAATGGAAAATCCAGGGTACCAACGACTTGGGAGTGGGAGTCAGAGCTCCCGGGGTTAC